TATGAAATGGTAGGTGATGAACATCGGTTTCATCAAGATTGAACCCACTGTCCAGGCAATTGTTACTTTCGCTCTCAATTGTTAATGGTTGCCATAGGAAGATTTTAGAGGCATTTAAGTAGTGTTTGGACACACATTAACTCATTCAGGAGGGAAAATAGTCATGAAGATGTCAACAAGAGTGAATAGTGAGCTTTAAAGAGAGGACTGAATACAGTGGAAACAGCATTGGTGGGCCTATTGGTCAGCTGGATGGGCACCAAGAAGAAATTCTAGTGCTCTTGAGTCAGCATGCTAGGGTCATCAGATAAATCATTATCTTTAATAGTCTCCAAAACAAATCGTAGGAAGCAGTCTCACCATCCACAGCAGCCAGCCTCCCGGGAGCTACAATAAGGGAAGAGCTAGAGAAACCTGACAGTGAAGTGTCTAGTCTCAAAGCGGCACTTGTGACTTCAAGTGAAGGCTGATTAGCCAGGACTTGTTATATTGCTTCACCTCCTGTGCACATGGAGTGGAGACAAGTCATAGCTGCTGTGAGTACAAGTATTGTCTGCTACAGACAGACACAGTTGAACAGTGCACTCAGATCCTTCCCCTAAGGGATACTGACATTTGCTCCTCCCTCAAGGTCTGGTGAGGGAGCAAAGGCAAATTGAGGTCAGATGCCAGGCTTCAGCTGCACTGCTTTGTCAGAGCCATCAACATGCTGGGTTCTATTCATCCCACTGCGCCCCAGTTCCACTTCAATCTGCTGCCGCCTGCACGGATTCTAGTCCAGAAACAGCTACTCAATGTGAACTGAAAGGACTTTGCGTTGGCAGAGCTTATGAATACGTTGAAAAACAGGCAAGCATCTTTGGAATCACATGGGCCTTTGTGTCTGTTTTCTTGAGTTGTACTCATTGACTTAGTCTATTACTATCGTCATACATAGAGCATCTTGTTTAAGCTGTTGTCTTTTAGCTAAAAATGCTTCTTTGGTAAACTTTTAATACTGTAATCTTTTTCCTTTAGAATAATTTGGAAAGTACTTTTCAGACTTTTCTTTGAAACATTCATATTAGAATTTTAAAACAGGAACTTCATAATAAATTCAGTAAGATTTATAAGTACCTGCCAGATCTTAATTTCTGTTCTTTTATACTCCAGTGCTTAGCTGAACTGGTAGCTTTTCTCTATAGCTAATGGATGTCTCAAGTCTCTGCCTTGTGAGAATGTATGCTTTAAGAACTCAAGACATGCTGGATCCTGATGTCACAATCACCTCATGGGTGGATGTAGGATGGGTCCCTAAAACAAGGACAGAGGTGGGAAGCTAGTGTTAGGTGGAATTGTCCTTCTGATTGAAACATCCCTCCAGGAAGAAGGGGTAGAGGAGGCTCAAGAGACTAAAGAGACATCACATGTCTTGGAAAGTTGACGCTTAAGGATCACAAAGTGCTCCCCCAAGGTTGTAGAAATGGAACTCTGTATGTGTGTGTGCTGGGGGGAAGGGGAAGGGGAAGGATGGGAACAGGACTGAAAGGGACAGGTTGACTGTGACCACCAGAGCTGCCTAAAGGAGGCTTAGCTGCCTGGGAGAGGAGGTTCTGACTAGTCAAGCAACCTGCAAGTTGTGAAGTGTTGTTGCCCATGTTGAGCTGGGCTTTGGTGATACAGCTGCTTTTGAGTTGCCCTGCTCTTAGAACACAACACCCCTACTCTTGTAAGCGGCCCCCAATAAACTCATTAATTTGCAAAATTAGACTTTGGCAATGTCATTTCTTTGGTCTGTCATTGATTTCCCTAACTGATGATGTATGGATCAGGCTCGGGGCTGGGGAAGAGTCTTCCCCAGGAAAAGTCACACAAAGCTAGTTAGTACCGCTCAGCTATCGTTCGTACTTGGCTGTTTGTGTGCACATTTGACTTCTCAAGAATGTTTGGAGTTTGAGTCAGTGACTCAGTAATAGAGTGTAAGCACATACTAGGCCCGGGGTTCTATCCCCTAACCACACAGAAATATTTTCAGTATTACCTTTTCTCTCAGCAATTAAATAGGTGGTTTCACTAAACAGGAAAAGTTATGGACAGATGAGCACAGATCTGAAGCTGAGGAATCCTGAACAGACCCATTTTAAGTAGCCTGCTAAGCTGCAGCCTTCCCGACCCTCCAGACGACACGAGCTAGGTCAAACCCTTTTTCCACATCCTGTACACATTTTTTTCCAACCCCTAGAGCAGGCCATGGGTTCTCTCTCCAGTCACCTCACTCTAAACTCTGCTGTACTAGTTCTTTAAGTCATCTGTCCACCCAGTTCATGGTCTGCATGTGAGCTTGTAGACAAACCAAGCATCAGACGACCAACTTAATTCTTGAATCATGTTTAAATTAAGCAGTTGTGTATGTGTGAAGGTGCATGTGTGCCACAGAATTCCCACGGTGGGGATTACTCACTTTTTGAGATTTAAGTTTATGGATTTGAGTGCTTGTTTCGATGTATGTCCATTCACTACATGCTTGTAGTGTCCCCAGAAGCCAGAAGAGGGCATCAGATCCCCTGGGAATGGATTTACAGACCGTTGGGAGCTTCAGTGTAAGTGTCAGGAATTGAACCCAGGTCCCTTGCAAGAACAGGCAGTGCTCATAATGGCTGAGCCATCTCTTTAATTCCAAGAGGAAAACTTTTGAGTGTGTGTCTTCACCTACCTTGCTGAGGGATGGTCTCTCTAGTGCCTGCTGTGTGGCATGCTCGAGGGATCAAACTCCTATCAGGCTTGCAAGGCAAGTGCTTTTTTTTAAATCTGCTGGCTCTACTGAATCACCCTCAGTGCCTGGCTTTCCTCCTGGTTCCCAAGGCCTTAGATGCTCTGAACCTTGGCTTCCTTCCTCGGTCATGCAGATGGCACTCTTGTCTTGGGGGTGCCTACTGCTAGCCCTTCCCTTTCCCAACCATTGTTTTTTAGTGCTTTGGAATGATCTTTCAAAGAGTGAAGAGCTAGAATTTGCTTTGTGAGTCAATCAGTTCTTTTTAGTAAAAAAACAAAAAAACAAAAAACAAATAATGTAACCAAATATAACCAAACTACTACTAACTAAAACAACAGAACCAAAACAATATAATTCAAATGATATAACCGGTACAATGTAATGCTGTGTGGTATTTAATTTCTCATTTAAAATTTTTACTTGATCTGTTTTCTTTGCTCTTTTCAAACCTATCGGATGCTTTGTGCTTAGGATGGCTCCACTTCTCCAATCCCTCTTTCCTATTCCTTGTCTTCCAACTTTTTTGTTTCTAGTGTTGGTGGTGCCCACACCCTTACCTTCTGGGCTTCCCCTCTTCCTCCTCCTGGGCCCTAATGGCTGCGTGTTAATTCATTAGGACATGTAATTGCATATAAGCTCACCCCTCCTGTTGACTTTGATTTCAGCCTCACATCTCTACAGTATAATGTCCAGTACCTCAGGGCTTTATCTCGGATTTTCCCACAGCCTCCATGTGGTGTAAGCAAGCCTTCATTGGATAATCTGGTAGACTGCAGAAAGGGCTTTGAAGACAGCTTCCCCAGGAAACTTAGAAAGTGTCTTTTCATCCCCTGACGCAAGTCTCCGTCCCCCAGCCTGAGCTGTTCCCCTCCCCATCTCAGGTGTCTCTCTAGTTCCTCCTTGTCATTTCTTAGTGGTGGAATTGACTTCCACCTCCATGTTCTTCCTCAGTAGGAAAACTCGCAAGATTTCTATCATAACCTTCCTATCCTTGGTCTCTGAGGCTATTGCCTCTTTTAAGGGACCTTTCCCTGGGACACCAAGGGGTCAGGGACCTTTGTAGGTTGGTACTCATTTGGAGGTTGAGGACAGTGATTCCTTGGCTGAAGACTGCTTGCTCTCGCTGGGCTTTCCATCTTACATCCTGAGGCAGGATGGAGGTGGGTGGCTGCCATTGTACAGATACCTGAATCCCAGGGATAAGACGATGGTCCAGGAAGGGGATGACATGGGTAGGGCCAACCATACAAAGGGGAAGTGCAAGACAAACTCTTAAACACTGCATAGAGCCTGCATGGAAGAAAACAGCTGGGGACATTAGTGGTCACTCAGCTGTCTATGAAAGACAAGGCTCTAGAGGCCCTGAATTTGGAATTTAAAGATTAACAGCATTTGGAATTTATAAATATTCCCACTGTCCATCTAGACCCCTTTATCAGCTGTTTCTTGGGGGAGGCAGCTGCCTTCCTCCAGGAGGCCCTCAGCCCTGATATCCCAAACAGTGCTTGCTTTTCACATCATTGACAAATGCATGTTGGATAGTAGCCTGTTGAATGTTGTTGCTGTTGACTCTTCAACATGATAAATGGTGGGATTTGATCTGTTTCTCCATGGTTCTCAATGCTTAGCAAAATTCCCTCAACTCAAGAACCTGGTTTTTGTCCTTCTGTGTCTGTGATACCACAATCTGTCAATTTGCCATGTTGTGACTGTGCCTGGCTCCCCTTGCATTCCGTGAAGACTGATACTGACATCCTGGCGGGGATGGAGAGGTCATAGCCCACTGCCCACAGCATCCTTCCTCCCTGCTTTCTTGTATCTTCTCATTGCCTGAAGTGTTGAGACTTTTCCTCCATCTAGAAGCTCTTTGCTTTAGAATTGTTTTCTGGAGACACAGATTTTATGTGAAGAAGAAGTAGATTTTACGAGAAGTAGGGATCTTTGTATCCTTTACCAGCTGCCCTCAATACCATGACTAGTGGGAGCAGTAAATGGGTCTGCCTGTGAAGAGGTAACTGTCTGTAATTTGTCAGCCTATTTTGTTCTGAGAACTTCATTGACACATGAAGGGAAACTCCTTACACCTTACAGAGCTAGTGAACCCTGAATCCATGCCACCTGGGTTTATTCTGAAGCCTGGGAGAAGGTTTCTCCATTTTGAGAATTGGCCCTAGGCATTTCCCCAGCTCACAGAACACACCCAGAAGTCAGTAGAAGGCTCTTTGACTCCTCAGGGTGGTAACTGGGTCTTGTCTTCTTGTTTATCCAGAGTTTTGTCCCCTCAATATGGTCCACAGTCCACATGCTCCTCTTCTGCCCCCTCCTGGGGAGCTGTAGCTCAGAAGCCGCCTTAATGGCAGCTTTGGAGGCAGCTATGCTGGAGCCTGCAGGCTGTTCTAGAACTCTGCAGAAACAAAACTGTAAGTAAGTGCTTCCTGGCTGCCACTCTGAAATTTGGACATCGCCTCATGAGAACAAGGTGACAAGAAGTCACTCAGCTATAACTGGGCCTTCCTTCAGAGACACGGAAGTTTGGGGTGATAGAGTATGCATACTTTTCTTGGACATCCCCTAACTTACTTTGCCTCTGGCTCCTCTTCCTCCTGGTTCTCTCCTTGGGGACAGCCTCTACAGAAGCATCATTAGAGCTAGGCTGAGAAGCTGCAGGGAGAGAAGACCCCACATGACCTTGGGAGAGACATACCATACCAGGCAATGTGGGCTCCTACTTTCTGAGGAATTTGCATGTAAATTCTGAGGAAAGGAAAGGAATGGTCGGTGGTTCCTCCCATTCCCTGCCCCCACCCATACACACACCTGCACTTACCTACAGAGGAGGCCAGGGATTGCCTTACTGTATACCATTTTTTACCATGCATAGGCTGCTCTCTGATGCTGCTTTCTCTGTATTATTCTGCCCACAGAATGTCCTATGGAGACAGATGAATTTGTTGGGTTTCTCTGTGTCATAGTTACAAAAGTGGACAGGGATTGCCCTCCTGGCTCATCAGGACACCCCTTGCAGTGCCCCGCTAGAACTTGACATGAAGAGTTGAGGAAGAGCAGATATGATGGGAAGAGGGGACCTGGAAACCAAGGATGAAGAGGACTAGGGACACACCTTCCACGGGTACTTTCTTCAGACCCTTCTTCACTGGTGACCCTTCTTCACTGGGTTCTGATGCCTTGGGGCCATTTCGGAGGCAACCGATGTGAACATAAAAGAATCCTGTCTTCTCTTGGTTGTCTCAAAACAAGTAAGGGACTCAGCCTGATTAACTGTTATGCCTGTCATGAGCCCCCCAGAGACCTTTAGTTCATATGCAAAAGCAAAGAGCCTTTATTGCAAGCTTGAGCTTGGGTCTCCCTCCATTCTAACACAGTGGTTGGGTCAGGGAGAGCCCCAAGCTCAGCTGAAGCAGGGTTTTTAAGGAGTAAAGGATGGGGGTAGGGGAATTCTGGATTCAGATGGGGGTTGAGCTCCTGATTGGGCAGGAGTGAGGCAACAGAAGTCTCGTCAAACAGGGATTGGTGCTGGCGTTGCTGCAAGGAACTTGGCAATCTATATACAGATTATGTAAGCTATCCTTAATGTTCTGGAGCATCTAGCACTTGCTTATCTCAATTCTGATTGGCCCCCTGCAGGGTATAGTTTGTGGCTTTTCCTGGTTATTGTAATGGTGAGGCCTAGTTCCAGTATTGTTAGTCTGCAGCCTATCATGGATGCATTAATGTTAAATTAGGCCTCTTCACTCCCCCACCTCAATAAGTAACTAGAGAGGACATAATCATGGATCCTGTGTGTCCAGGGTTAGGAGATGATATTGAGACTGGAGGACCACGAGTTGGACTGTGTTGACTCTTTCCCTGCACAAAGGCTGTCAGCCTGTTAGTCAAGCAGGGTCCCAAGGTCAGTAAGAGGATAAGGACTAGAAGTCTCTGGCTAGTACTGAGAGTAGGGTGGTTAGCCAAGGGGGCTGATTAAAAATATCTTTATATCATCTAGACTGTTTCTGGATCTCCCGTTCTCTGTCTTTAATTTTTTTTCTTAGTATAGCCATTGAGTCATGAATGATCCCTGAGTGACTGACAGAAAAACAACATTTTTCTCCCCAAGTGTAGCATAGAGCCCCCCTTGCTGCATAAAAAGGAGATCCAGGCCCCATCTGTTCTGTAAGGCTATTTCAGCTAGGGAGTTTAGAGAACTTTCTAGTTTGTCAATCGAGTCCTCAATGTGAGCCAAGTCTGAATTTATGACTGATTATAAACCCTTGTAGTTTTTGTCTTGTAATATCAACGTTGAGGTCCTTATACCTGTTGCTCTTGTTAACTCAAGTCTGACCGAACTACGGCTGCCCCTATGGCCCTCTTAGATTTGGAGGAGGGGGACAGAGCTAGTTCCATCTAAGTCTCTTTATAGTATTTTATGTTGGAGAAGAGCTGGATCATCATACAGTACCCCTTTCCTGCCTTAGGACCGTAACATGAATGCATGGGGTCAACCCAGTGTTGCAGGCCCATCATCCAGAATGGGCAGCGTAATGAGTTTCATTCTGCACAGTCAAGGTTTTATTTTTGCTGGACTCTCTCAGAATGATTGACATGTAAGCAACAGATTTTCCCCAAAGGGAATTTGCCTTTGACTTAGTATTTTCAGCCTGTTAAGGGGATGGGGATTATGTACTCTCTTCTGTAGCTGCTTCTAGCTGAAACTGGGGTGTTGGTTTTCAGGGCCCAGGAAGGCTGAAAGGCTCGTCAAAGGCTGGGCAATGGTGCATTTATCAGGTACATCTGATTAGCTGTTCCAGGAGAAGGGACAGGGAGCAATCATATTGACTAGACTGATTTGCATCAGCTTTCAGCAAGTCAAGAGCTCAGCAGTTTGCAGTCCATAGGTGCTCCCAAGATGGTGTCTTGTTAAATCTGCTGAGGTAAATATAGACTATGGACAAAAGTTAAAATTTAGGAGCTTAAAAGAAAACCTTGTATTTGGAACTTTTATTTATCTGGAGTCCATTTGACCTGTGACAGGTAGATTTAAGCCTTATGACCTTTTGACTTTTTGCAACAAGTGTCTATAAAACAGCTCGGACAGATTTACATCTTGGAGACATAGCAAAAGTTATGGCTTTGGGTTAGCCTGATGAAAAACATCTTTAAGTCTATAAAGAAAATTTAAAATCTTGAGCTTATGACTGAATAGTGAGTATTCAGTGCTCTATCAATTTATCTGAACTCCTTTTATTAATGTTAAAACTCTAAACCTCTGAAATCTCAGTGTAATGATATATTTCTAGTCAAGCTTGCAAGTCATACAGGGTGTATACGATTAATGTCCAAGACCAATTGCCCTGTCAGGCTTTTATGGTTTTTTGATTACTAAGGGAATAGATAAACATAACCAGAAGAACCTATGATACATGTCTCTCAACGTAGCTAGACCAAGCCAAATTTTATGGGTTTTTGTAATTTTTTGCATTATATTTTTAACACCATTAGAAAGTATGTTTTACCAGAGACAGGAATAGTTATTACTGAGAAGAGCCATTGTAAGTAAGGTATGCTCTTTTAGTGAAAAGTTACATCTGAAACATGTATATTCTTTAATATGAAGCTTGTGAGCAAGGCAAACCTATTTGCCTTTTTAAAATAAGAGACCTAGTAGCTTTAATTAATTAATGAACAAACAAGATAGCTACAGCCTTGAGGGAAGGAGCTGATTGCCTGCTGTTGTCTAGCTGACAAAACTACAGTTAGCTTAGCCATTAGTGAGATCTGAGAAGGATTAATCAAAATGACAGAGGCTGGTTTATAGTCCTTACCTAGACAGCTATCTGAGGCTCCTGTGGGCTCTATGGTGACAATGAGGGTAGAGGTATCAGGGCATCAGTCTTGGCTGCCAGGCCCAGAGGATGAGAGGCTTTCCTGGGGAGGAGGAATACAGGGAGATTCTTGTCAGGGCAAAGTGGGGCATCAATTCTGCAGTGTCCTGCTTGTCCACAATTTGGCAGAAGGCGATGCATTGAGGCAGTCTCACCCAGTGGTCAGTTGGTTAGCATTGCCATGGTCCAGGTGGAGTTGTCCGTTGCTGTACCCATTGTCTTCTTGGAGACCTTGGGAGTCATTGCTAGGATCTGAGAGTCTCTGTCTGTCATATAAGTTTAAATATCTTAAATACCATCTTCAGCAAATCTCTGACAGTTTGAGGACTTGAGCCAAACAACTCCTGTTTGTTTTTAGTTATTTGGTTTAGGCTTTATCTTGAAAACATATAAGAGGCTAGAAATATTTTTCCTGTAGTTGTGTATATTAGTCCTTAACATGACTTATAAGTATAGTTCTGAACATCTTAATGTTTAATCATCTTTAACAGTTTATAATAAAAATAACAATATTTGAACTGAAGCTCTTTTTAGTATTAAGATAAGACTTTTAATTTATAAACATAGTCTATAAACAGATTTGGAATTTTCCTGATTCTATAGTATACTGTTATGCCCGGGTCGCAAGTCCCCCAACAAAACCACCAAGGAGCTGACTTCCAATGCAAAAAAAAAGGTTTCTTTATTCAAGCCAAGCCTGGGTAGGGGCTTTGTCTGACACTCCCCCTTAAAGTGAGTGAAGGAGGAAGCCCTGAGCACTCATTACAAGGGGTTTGTATAGGAAAAGTTAACATGCAGTGGATTACATATCATTGGATGAGGGAACTGGGGGTAAAGTAGTTCTTTGAAGTTACTGGCTGAACTATAAGCATGAAATTACTAATGGCTGACAGGATGCAAGGTATCTACAGAGACATAATTTTTTTAATCTCTATATCCTGTTTTGCTGAGTCCAGGATATATACATTTAGGTTTATTGTTCCAACCCTATTTTCACATGAGTTCAATCTCTGGTCAGCTCTAAATTTCCAGGTCAGCTTCTGGGTTCATTTATAGATCAGCAGATACCTTCAGATGGGGGCCGACACTCAAGAGGGCTACTGATTTTTCTCCTTCAGTACCATTATAGAAATATAATAGTTTCTTGTATGATTCAGTTTGCCAAAACAGCCATAGCTTAATAATGTTAGCAAAAATAAAGAGGTTAGATATATATCTTTAAACCAGTTTTTGTAAAGTTCGATAAATCTTAAGAGAGACATTCTTTAAGCCAGTGGTTTTTAACTTTTTGTGGGCCATTGTTATGCAAATGTTTGATATGCAGGTGGCCCTAGGCTATTTCTATAAAAGGTCTTTTGACCTCCCCAGAGTCTTGAGGTTGAAAACTGTTGTTGTTAGGGAACCAGCCCCAACCTGTCGAAGGGTTCTTCAATGGAAGAGTAAGGAATTGAGAAATAATAGGAGGAAATATAGATTTAGACTAAGAAAAAGACAGAGACACAGGATAGCTTTGGGAGGGCCCTGGGTCAATACCCAGTTGCTTTGAGTTTATTGCTAATGGGCTTTTTATACACTAGCAAGGGGAGAAGCAAAAGACCTCCCCCTTTCAAGATCAAAGCACAATGTACAACCAAGTGTAGACCCTTCAAAACACCTAGTAACCACGCCCCAGGCAAAGCATCTTGTGATTAGGCCTTGAAGTATGAGACACCTGGTAACCATGCCTTTGCACCCTATTATGCAGCCTTGGAGAGCAACATAAACTCTGACGCTCTGACCTTGAGTCAAACCACAAGTTGGAATCTTTGTGGGCTCCCACACCAAGTTCTTTGCCAGATTATTTAAGGTCACTGTCTTATTGCATTATAAGACAGAAATATCCCAGTTTTGGTGCCTAGCAGTTGTGGTCCTAACTTTAGGTGGCCAGTGACTACACTGGGTGTTTGGGATTCTAGTGTAGTATTGAGCCTTCCTCAGGGTGAGCTTTTAAACATAAAAACCATGTTTGGAGATTGACATATTTCAGTTGACAAAAACAGTCAGAAGCAGAACTAAAGGGGTTAAAAAACAAGGTTAGCATATTTGAATATTTGCCCAGAACTATAGACATTGATGGAGTAGATCTTTGTTTTAAAGCTACCTATGTAGCCTTCTGATTATTAACCCTGTGTTAAAGTTTTGAGTTAACCTTTTTGTTATAAATATTATAGATTTTTAATTATGTTCAATAAATTTATAAATCAATAATTTCTTAGCTGCTCTGCTCTTGTTCTTTCTGTCTGCCAATTTTTTACCTCAGACATAGAGATTTTTAAAAGCAAGTCTGGACCTGAAAAAGGGTGGGCCATAACCCAATTTCAGAGCCAGCCCTTAATAAAGTAGAACTGCATAAAATAATTTTAATTTTATTCATATCTAATTGACATTTGAATCCTTATTATATTAGTTAAAATGGCCAGAATGCTGGAGAGAGAAATTCTGAGCCTAGGAGGCTGGCTGTAATAGTAACAACTGAGCTGTAACCAAGACACACAGAACACAGTAAACCCATACATTCAAGACCAGTCAGACACAGACGTGCAGTGGCCATATTCATGCATTCAAATATTAAAACAAACAGACAATTTTTTTATTTTCTCTAGCTGTAATTTCAAGGAGGACTGTCTCAATAGCTATTGGATCCAATTCTTTGGGTACCAGAGAAAGCTGCCCATAAGCCCAAGTACTACATTCTGCAACCATATGCTGCTATTGAATTATTTCAGGGTGTGGCTCTGGGCAGCTGTGAGACAGTTTAATGGAGCTGCGGGTGCAGTGCTCCCAGAGCAGAGACAGCTTGTCAGTTTTTGTGAAAGAGCCGCCCTTTTTTTGAGTATGAAACATAGAGCAACAATTAAGCAATTAAATAAAACTACAGACAAACTGACAGACATGGACAGACTGCTGCTCCAAGGACAACCAATAGAGTGGGAGAGGAAATGGAAAGAGAACCAAATATCCTGTCAGTGGGACCCAGACATCTCACTGCTCTGCCAACCTGGCTTGGGAGGCAGATGAAGCATTGACCTGCTCAGTTTCTGACCTGGGCCGGTTGCAGGTTCCTCCTGGCCACTGGAGGAAAAGCTGGTTCTTCATCAGTTTCCCCTTGAGGACTGGTGCTGATGGTTTGGGGTGTGGCTTTTCAGTTTCCTCTTTGAGGGCCAAGATAGTTTTTCTTGGCGGTCCTGTGGAAATAAAGGGTGTTAGCGAAGAAGAGGGGTATAGGACTAAATGCTGACATGTGACAAAGTAAGGAATCTGGTCCAGAAGGCTGGGAGTCCCAGAGATGACATCTTTAGCATGAGCCACCAGGTAGGGGTTGAAACTTCCTTCTCCTGGCCAGCCTATATCAAAGGAAGGCCATTCTAACGGACAGGATATGGTTAATTTTTCTTTTTCAGTTTCAAACCCGTCTTTTTGTGCTCTAGTCTTAAACTCCTGAAAATGGTCAAGAATCAGAATCAAGGGAGTGGGAGTACTTGGCTTTTGTCCTATAATGTCGGTCTTGAGTGTCACATAGAACAAACAGTCCAAAAGCAAACAAAACATGAAACAGTGCAGATTCCTCCTGGTCACTGGAGGAAAAACTGAAACCGAGAGGATGGCTTGTTGTCGATTGGTGGGTGCGACCCACCCGGTAGATTCAGAGAAACCAGAGGGATCCAATCTTGTACAGAAGGGTTCAGGGAAGTTCCCCAGTTGCCCTGTCAGAAGGGTCCTGGGATGTCTCCCAGTTCCCCAGCCTGTGATCCTCCTGTGTGTCCATTTAGACCTTTGCAAGGACTTCAGAAATGGGCCAGGTCAAAGTATAATGCAAGACAGAGACAAAGTAAAACCAAGCAAGACAAATAGAAAGACATTCATTGGCCAGTCAAAGGCTCCACAGGTTGAGGTTCTGGTGGGTCTGGGGGATCCCACATGAACACCCAAATGTTATGCCTGTGTCATGAGCCCCCCAAAGACCATCATATGTAAAAGCAAAGAGCCTTTATTGCAAGCTTGAGCTTGGGCTCTCTGTCCGTTCTAACACAGTGGCTGGATCAGGGAGAACACCAAGCTCAGCTGAGGCAGGGTTTTTAAGGAGTAAAGGATGGGGAGTAGGGGAATTCCAGATTCAGATGGGAGTTGAACTCCTGATTGGGCAGGAATGAGGCAACAGAAGGCTCGTCAAACAGATTGGTGCTGGCGTTGCTACAAGGAACTTGGCAATTTATATACAGATTATGTAAGCTATCCTTAATGTTCTGGAGCATCTAGCACTTGCTTATCTCAATTCTGATTGGTCCCCTCTGGGTACAGTTTGAGGCTTTTCCTAGTTATTATAATGGTGAGGCCTAGTCCCAGTACTGTTAGTCTGCAGCCTATCATAGATGCATTAATGCTATGTTAGGCCTCTTCACTAACCAGGCTATTTCTTTCTGCTTAATCTGCTTCGTGGAGAAATAATAATTCAAGCTGCAATAATAATCATAATTTTCCTCCCTCTCGCCCTCCCTCCTTCCCTTCTCCCTTCCTTCTTTCCTGTTTGAAGTGTTGGGAATCTAATCTAGTGACCCATGCATGCTAGGGAAGTGCTCTACCACTGAGCTATACATAGCAGTTCTCCATCCCTTGTTAAACTTTAGATGTTACTTTATGCAGTAAGAAGGCCTCACTTACACTCTATAATCTGTCAGGTAAGAATTACAGTTCACCTGATTTACAGAAGGAAAAATGATTACACACCATCATATAAAACTTGCTAGGGTATGTCCTTTGACTTTGGCCAGGCCAGGGGTTGCCTTACCATATACCATTCTTTGCCATGCATAGGTTGCTCTCTGGTGCCTCTTTTCTGGATTATTCTGTCAGATTTAGGGTCATAATTCCTGTGTGCTGAGTGACAATAAGAAGGATGGTTGCTGAGTGTCACTTATGCTTCCAAATGGGGTCAGGCCACCTGTCCTCATGTACTTATTCTCTTTATCAGCATCTCTTTTTACGTATCTCTATGAACTAGTGCAAATTCACACGTTATTAAGTCTCCTTCCAAAGTATGACCATGATGACACAACCACCTTCCACGTGACTCCCTCCCAAGGGCAGTCATGAGTAGACCAGTTCCTCTTCATTTTCCTCTTTCACTTTATTCTCTCTCTTGTTCACATCCTGCTCTCTGTTTTCCCCAACCAAAAACCTGTTTCTGTCCCCACAGCATCACCAGTTGTACATCTGGAGACCCCCAAGGATCCCTGACACACCTCCAAGACTCTGCATCTGACATTCTGTCTAGCATAGCACTGGATGACAGTCACCCTGTGTGAGCAGCTGCTCCCCTCTCAAGAGCTAGGCCCTCAAGGCTTTCCCAGAGCTTGTCCAGAGCTCAGTTTCACAACTCTGAGGAGAGCACTGTTGGTAGCTAAGTGAAGTCCAACATTCTTAAGGTATTGATGACATCACACCATTCCACCAGAACTTACTCTCTGGTCTATTAAAGAAACACATCCAAGGAACAGGCCATGGGCATTCGAGATAAAGGGCTGGCGTCTCCTCTGAACACTCAAGTGATGTTCTCTTATCCCCATTATTACTTAACTTTGAACTTCATTCTTGTGAATAATCAAACCTATTAGTAAATCTAAATAAAATATATCTATGCATTAAAAAGTTGAGAAAATGAACAATTAAGTATCTGTAATACAAAGTTACTAATGCAGTTTATTTTGCTGTCATATTTATGTTCAGCTACAATCATATTAAAATGTAAAATTTCTAAACTTTTATATTTTGCTATAAAGATTCACATGCATTTGTAAGAAGTTATTTGGCAAGCTCCTTGGTCCCTTCACTGAATTTTTCCTTTTGGAAACTTATAACTGTAGCACACTATCCCCAAAGAGATGAAGATTGCACAGCTGTGTCTGCATGTGCTTATGTATCCGTGTTTAGTCCAGCACAGATGTGTCTTGTGTGTACATTTGTAAGCTCACCATCAAGACAGGCTCAACCCTATGACAAGAAACCCTCATGCTTCTCCTCCCTAGTATGTCCTCCCTTCAAAGCCCTGGTAACAATGTCTTTTCTGACTGTACTATTTTGTTTTTCATGCTAACCAGGACATATGTACCCTGAGATTACATTTCCCCTCAGCATGATTTTGAGATCTACCCAAGTTTTTACATGGATCAGCAGTTGATTCTTTTTCTAATTGAATTCTTTAATCTTGAATTTTATGAGCTCTTTCTGTCTTCCAGGTATGTCAGAGAAGTGATAGGCAAGTCTTTCCTCTCAGCCTATATGTAGCTTATCTCTACACCTTCCTAAGAACCTCCCCAAGGCCAAAGCTGTACATTTTCATGAAATGGAAATTTGCTTTATAATTACAATTTTGCATTTTTTTTTTTTGAGACAAGGTTTCTCCATGTTGCCCTAGCTGTCCTGAAACTCTCTCTCTAGACCAGGCTGACCTCAAAGACACAGAGATCTACCTGCCTCTGCCTCCTGAGTGCTGGGATTAAAGGTGTGCACCACCACTACCCAGCATAATTTTGCATTTTTAATGTATTTTTGATATTGTGTCTTAGAACTCTTCTGTAGCCCTAGGTTCCAAAAATTTCGATGTGTGTGTCTTAGGGTTTCTATTGCTATGAAGAGACACCATGACCACAGCAACTTTTTATTATTATTTTTTCATTTATTTTACATGGTGACCATAGTTTCTCCTCCTTCCTCTTCTCCTCTTTCCTCCCTCCACCTCCCATCTATACACCCCCCCCCAAAAGAACCACTCCTCCTCCTCCTCCTCCGTCTCAGCTTGAGCTGGGCGAGATTCAAGATGCACCTGCACAAGGTTGCTAGGTTCCTGATTCAGGATGATCCTGCCTCTCGTGTGCTAGGGAGCCAGACAGGTCTAATGGAAGCACTAGTCCTGTGGCTTGTCTTTGGAAAGCGGGGTTCTAGTCCCTTGGGGATCTCTTTAGCGCCCCCAAAGGATTAAAAAACAACCACCATTTAGAAAGGGGCAGGCCTCTGGAGGGCATCAGCAAAGCATGGCACATCAAGTTAAGGCAGGGCCAAGCCCCTCCCCCTGCATCAAGGCTGGGCAAAGCAATCCAGCATGGAGTATAGGCTCCCAAAATCCAGCTCAAGGGTCAGGTCCTGATGCCACTGTTAGGAGCCCTGCAAACAGATCATTCTACACAACTACCACGCATAGGCGAGGGCCTAGATAGATCCCATGCAGGCTCCCTAGCATGGGGTCCAGACTTCATGAGTTCCCATGAGCTCTGGTCAGCTGTCTCTGTGGGTTCCCCTGTCATTACCTTGACCCCCCTCCAACCCTCTATCCCCCTTCACCCCTTCATCCCCCCTGTGCCAATGTGTTCATGGCTACTTCCCACTTTCTTTTCTGTCAGGTTCAGTGTGACTGGATTTATGTTGTGGTCTTTGATCCACTTGGACTTGAGTTTTGTGCATGGTGATAGACATGGATCTATTTGCAATCTTCTACATGCTGACATCCAGTTATGTCAGCACCATTTGTTGAAAATGCTTCTTTTTTCCATTGTATATATATATTTTGTAAAAAACAAATCGTTCATAGATGTGTGGATTTGCGTCAGGGTCTTCAGTTTGATTCCATTGATCCACCTGTCTGTGTTTATGCCAGTACTATGCTGTTTATATTACTATAGCTCTGTAGTAGAGCTTGAAGTCAGGGGTGGTGATACCCCATGGCAGCTCCTATAAAGGGAAACATCTAATTGGGTGGCTTTTTTACAATTTCAGAGGTTCAGTGCATTCTCATTATGGCAGGGAGTATGATGGCGTGCAGGCAGACATGGTGCTGGAAGAGGAGCTGAGAGTCCTACATCTTGCAGACAACAGGAAATCAACTG